CTCAAGAGAAGTCCAGTACGTAAAGAAAAGTGTCAAAAAACCCACAAAAAACACAAGTGAGAGGAAGGTGATTATTTAAAAGAGGAAAATATTGTTGTAAACTTTGTATTCAATGAAGAAATAAATATTGCAAAAAGATCAGACTATCTCTTGACATTCCCATTAGGTACATTCATTGGATAATGAAAAAGTTTCTAAAGGAAAAAGATTTATTCTTCCTGCCCTGTAAAGCAAGACCCAGAAAAACTTTAGAAAACATATTGCCTGGAAAAATTTGTGGCACGTTGCATGACCCAGCAGAAACACACTTACCATACAGGTAAGGATATCACCTAAGTATAATGTGAAATACAGCAATCAAGAAATCCTTTCTGTAAGAGCCTCAACTAAACCACAACCTGTGTAAAATAACTGAATGGTGCACAAAACAATGACACATTCATTGCAGCAACATGGTTTATGAGAATCCTAAATCTTACAATAACTTGCAAAATCGTTTTTACAATTGCTTATTGACACAATAAACAAGTGTTTCGCAAATAAATTTGCAAAGCAGCCTTTAAAAGGGCAACAAGAAGGTCAGGCTCTTCTTTATCTTTTTTGTTGTTATTTTTAACTGCTTCCTTAAAATAGAAAGCCACAGGAAGACTGGATGAACTTACTGAAAGAGTTCCATCACAGGAATAAAAGCAGATGAGATTTTGTATATTATGGGCAATATTCTTAGACTAGTTAGGCAGCAAAACTGATTTCCTCCTCTAAAATGAGTAAGGAACTAACAAACAGAAATCAGAAGCAAAAAAGAGAAAAACTAAGCTTCAAATGAAAAAAAAAAAAAGCAATGTTCTTCGGGATCAAGGAAAAACAAAGTGGTGGCAGTAGAACCCAGAGCTATAATCCACTCACATAAAAATAGCGAAAATCAGACAGAATATGAAAATACTAGAGTTCAAGAGGCCACAGAGAACAGTAGCATCACAAGGGCAACACATTGTTTAATCACTGTGAAATTCCAGATGACAGCACTCAAGGTCAGAGAGGGAAGGAGGCATCAGTGCCTGAAAAAGAAAATGTGAAGAGCACAGGAAAAAAAAAAAGTCAGACTCTTTTAGCAAGCAGCAACGAAAGCTTGAGTGAAAGAGGAAAACCAAAACCAAAATATTCCAGGGTTTGCTGAAACAAAATTGTAATTTGATTCTAAATTATGTATTTTAATTATTAATATTATTCAGTAGACACTATTGCAGCTTGTAACTGTGCTTATCCTGACAATTTCTACTGACATCTGCCATGATGTTTTATCAACTAAGACCACAGTATCTGCAACAGTTACAGAACGCTTCACCTCAAAATACACAAATACTTCTCCAGACAGAATACTGAACTTTACTAAGCAGATACTGCTGTTCAGTTAGCAATAAAGGATAGCTCTGCATACCACACAAAATCAGTTTTGTCGTAGGAACACAGATTCAACCTCTTACAGGGTATTACAGACAGTCTTCCAGAAATTAAGAGCTTTGAAAAACTCAAATACAGAGAAAAGCATCAAGTTTAATGTAACAACATTGACTTCTGGATGAACTAATAAAAACAATATGGCTGTCTCAGATTTTAATTGACAGTCTAATAAGAGCAGGCTCAAGTTTTCTAACCATTCTCGCCATGAAAACAAAAAAAAAAATTCTTTCCTTTAGAGAAGAAAATAAAGTAAAAGTGTCTCCCTGAAAGCATCATTTGAAAATTTCTGAAGCGTGATGGAAGATAATTAGTATGACAAACTAATTTATCTTGAACACTGGCTTAATATTTTCTTTAGTATAAAATTGTGGGTATCTCCAAGGTCTGTGGCTGGAGCTGAGTGAGTGTTCAGTGTAACATTCAAGCAGCTCTGAATACTTGCAAGAGTAAGGTGAAGGTAAGCCAATCTTAACTCACAGGACACTTGCTGTTACCAAAGCTAACAAAGCAATTATTTTACACTACAGGTAGTCAGCCACTGCCTTGCCTGCAAGTCCACTTTCTCCTTTTTCAAGAAACTGTGAATTTTCTGGTCTTTTGCAAAACAGGACTGTAACTATGCAGTTATACTTCCCTAAAGCTGCATACCAACAGTTTTCAACACACTAGGATTCATGCTGGGGTGTTTGTGCAGTGGCAGCGGTTATGATTGATGATATGCAAAGACCTAATCTGTTGCAAAGAGGATGTAACACAAACCACAAAGGAACTAGACACTTCAGCCTGTGTTTAGTACCACATACCGAGGCCCATACACTGGAGGTCCTGAACATTTTCAGCCAATCTTTTTATTCTGGCAGATTTCACAACTTTCCTTTGCAGAAATATTCTGTCCTTGAAAGATAACAGATCCAGCAACAGCTACAACAAAGTATCTAAAAAACTCCGGTTGCACACTATGGCTGTCTTCCCTTGCCATCATCACAGATCTAAACACAAAATTATTAAAGCTTTCTTGAATGTCCTCACGTCACTATTTATTCCACATTGCTGTGAGACTGAATGATTCACAGCATTTTCAAACATTTAACACTGAAACGCGGAGGATTATTATTACTTGAATTCACTATTATTAGATACTTCTGAAAAAGATACATTTGTTTACATCACTCTCAGTTGGTCTTGTTAAAATATAAAACGTGGTTAAAATGTGTGGTTTGGGTTTTACGAAGGTGGAGAGAGCAGTAGCATTACTTTTTTTTGTTGTTTAATTGCTTATGTGATACTAAAAATATAAGAGCTCATATTTCTAGGTATTTTAATGGGACTACAGTCATTTAGCATATTAATATAGTCTGCATGCCTATGCACTTGCATATGGGCATTTCAATCTAATAATTTTCGTTTATGAATTAGGAACACTCCTAGCCTCTACCTGAAATAAGAAAAGACTTAAAGCTCTCAGAATGCACAAATAGGGCCCTGTATGGCGATAAATAAGACAGCCACATAGAAAATATGATACCATTTTCTAAAGCATGCCATCCAATGAAGCTTCTTTTGACTGCATCTTGATCATAGTCATCAAACAAGACTCAAGTGGAATTTACTACGCATTGCAGAACACACCAAGACTCAACAAGTTTAGTCTGCTACACAGTATAACAATTTTAAATAAATATTCTACCTCATACGGTAGTTGGCTTCATATAATACAACCACTACTTAGTAAAAATTCTGAATAAATGCAGAGCCACATCCTTTTTCTTAAAATACTTGCTAGCTAGGAATTAATAGTCCATTTTTATCTTGTGAGAAAGAACAACTAGTACTCTTGAGGCATAATCTAATATTTAGAATAGACAAAATAGTCATAGTAGGCTGATACATGAGCCTGGCTCCTCTCTCGAACACATAGGCAAACTTCCAGATCAACTTCTGGTAAAGACAACTTCCCTTATAGGTGCCAAATGGAAGCTTAAAAGAAATACACAAGAAGTTTAATTTTGTTGATTTCTGTTCATAAAGGATAAGGGCCTCCAGTGCATGACATAATGACAAAAAAAAAAATTACTGCAGAAGGAATGCAACTACATTCTTAATATTTAAAATGTCTTGGAGAGCTACAGCATGTGTATGATGCAGTCCAAATGGATACTACCAAAGCAGTGTTTTAAATGCTTACCATTTCTGTTCACATCAAGTACTTGCTTCTCCAGATAGCATATTTTCACAGACTCACAGGATAGCTAAGGCTGGACAGCACCTCTGGAAACTGCCTAGTCCAGTCCTTCAGTTCAGAGCAGGGTAAACAGAGGAGATTGCTAACAGTCATGTCCAGATGGTTTTTGAGTATCTCAGGGATGGAGATATACAAACTACACAAGCTCCAAGTACAACCTTTTCCACTCTTTGACCATTCTTGCAAAATAGTTTTTTTATAGCATTTGAATGGAATTTTCTATATTTCAATTCCCTTTAGAGACTGCCACTGAGAAGAGCCAGACTCCTTTTCCCCCCATGAGGTATTTATATATATTAGTAAGACTTGCCCTGAGCCTTTTCTTCTTGAGAAGCCTCATCTATCTTGGCCTTCCCTTGCACAACAGATGCTCCAGTTGCTCTAGTCATCTTTGTGGTCTTTTGCTGTACTCCTTCCAATATGTCCATGCTTTTCTGGTAATAGACAGACCAGACCTGGACACAGTACTCCAGTTGTGGCTTTACCAGAGCTGCCCTAAATCTATAATTGCCAAGCTTTGAATTTTACCAGAGCTGCCCTAAATCTATAATTGCCAAGCTTTGAATTTTACTTCATCTGAAATTCTTCACGCTCTCTCATATTTCAGTTGTTAGAGATGAAAAACAACACAGCCATTTTTCAGCAGTTCAAGTGTTTAGAAAACTTTACATTCTAAAAACATACAAACCAAAATTTTATTCTAATCCTTTGAACCAAAACATAAACTAAGACAAACAAAACACACACCAAGAGTGGATAAATGAGCTAGGTATCTACAGATCCTCTAAGCATAAGAAGGATTTAACAATATCACTAAATAGAAAAATCAAATTCGCATTTCGCTAATCTGGTCAATTATACCAGTTATTGTTTAAAGATACTTAATAAAATAAGAGAATGACATCTTTTATTGGAGCTTAATAAAGAATTCTTCCTAAAAGAGACAGAAAGAAACAACACAAAGCACATACAAATTACAAGTGAGTCTAAAAATGGTCATGAGATTGTCTTAGTTATAACATTTAGAAATACATAAAGAAACATACAGAAATACTAGGGGGGGTGGGTTGTAACCTTTGGCTTTTATAACTCATTTTTTCAAAACTGTACTATCATGGAAGGCTGTAAACTTAAATATGAGATATTCTTCATAATTGTGTGTTCTTGCAGCTGAAGTTTTAAGAGAAAGCAACACAGGTATCTCAAAACTCATAAAGTCAGACACACTGGAAAACTTAACGAGATATGGAACAGTGAAAAAAAGGCCAAGATACAACAGCAGTATTTTTTAACTTACATTTGAGAGTTTCTCCAGCATAAGGAATATGTAGCTTAAACCGATCACAGCTGGGTCCAGGGGTCAGGGATGTACAGCTGAAAATGAAGACAAGAGAAGAATGTCCTAAGTAGTTACAGATGGCAGCAAACACCAACATTATTCTACAGGATACAAATGACTGATAGTAAACATGTTGTGGCTACCAAAAATACTCATCCTTATGAATCTTGGAAAGAAGAAAAGGTGGGAAAGATGCAGGAGGCCTATCTTCTTTTGATCAACAGTTCCCACAACAGTATAAGAAATTTAAGGATCTGTGCCAACTGTCTCCCATTTTATAATGAAAACACACATGCAAAATGCTCTGGTTTTGAGTGCGTTATTAGAATGGTAACAATTAGTCAAAGTCATCAAGTCCTCTACTTTGTGTACAATTTTGCAGGCCACAACTCTCTATGTCACAGTAACACGGTTACATATTCCCTATCCCTGCCACCCAGATAACTGGGATGAATTTTAATACACCAACATTTATTCATTTTTTACCTATTATAACATTAAAATTTTCGCTTGTGGAAAGTCTCACAGTAGCCTTCAGGTGAGCAAGTTTCATAACAAGGTATCTGAGGCTATATAACAACTGAGGATGTATGTTCATGATCTGTGACTCTCCAGTTCATCTGAAACAGCAGTTGGGCCTCAATGGTGATAAGAGAGCATTTTACGAATAGAAAAGTCACTAGAAAACTGTTTAGTGTCTAGGTCAGAGATGACCAGCTTTTTCATACCTTTTAAATCATGTACCAAAATATTTGCATACAAAAACCCCAAACAAAACCAAAATCTCAGCTGCAAATGGAGAAGCAAAGGGACACAAATTGTTTCACTGGCGGGAATTGTCCCTGAAGCTTTCACCACTGTAGGCTGCTGCACATATGACAGGTCCCAGGAGCAAAAATACTGGAAGTCCTTAGAAGTTCATTGTTTTATGTTTCTAGGGATCCTGATAACTCTGAAATCTTCTTGCCAGCCCAATATAATTGAGAATTTTTTATAGCCCCAGCACAATTGTTGCAAGCCACTTAAAGCTCAAAGCTATACTGGCCGACTCTAGAAAAAACAGTGAGTGATAATAAGGTACACAAAGGTAAAATAACTTGCCTAAACTTATATATCAGATCAGGGGTAGAGCTCTTAATACACACCATTGAAAATATAATGAACAAAACCCACATATACTGGGCAAAACACACACCCTAAAGTAAAAAGATGGGTAGGCCAGAAAACAAAAGAATTCTGATCCTACATTCAGATCCTCCCTTATCAGAAACAACACAGTAACTGCTGCAGCTCTGTCTTACCGCACAAGAGGCATCGGGGCACATGGAGCAATCCCAGTTCTCACTCACATACTCAAAATGGTTGGGAGAGCCATTTCTCCAAGATGCTGGCTCTACAGTCGCTTTTCCTCTTTCCACTTGCAAGTTCAGGAAACCACATGCACTAACTTCAGATTGTTTTTACTCAGTGAGCTACATTCACTATTTACTCAAATTTGTGCCCATGTGTAGCTTCACCAAGAAGAAGCAACCACAGAACTACAAAACAATTAACTTAAATGAAGTTTCCATAAAAATAGTAGAAAACATAAGCAAACCACTTATGTGCACCTAGAATCTAAGACAGATGCAATTAAGAGCCAAATGCAGTCAACAGCCTACACTGATTCAACAACAATACACCACATTTTTTCAGTATCATCACAGAAATTAGATAAGTGTCCCTTCAAATAAAAGGGAAGAGACACATCCTACCTTCACTTTAGAAAGGTTTTTGCAATGTCTTAGGAGAGCACCATGCAAAACAATTTACAGAAACGTAATTGAGATATAACTACTATCAGATACTGCAGACTTGAATGGAAAGCAAGTTTCAAAACAGATTAGTTCACATCTTGCTTCATCCAGGAAGAATGCACTGACTTGGTTTTCTTTTGCTGGAATACTACTTTGCATTTTATTGAAAGACTGATGATGGAAAAGAAACGACGTTTATGAAACCTGTCAATGATGCAAATGTGAAAGGGAATGCAGCATGCCGGACAACAGAGACAGACCTGAAAAATGTTTTTATTTCATGGTCTGTACTGCTTATTTTTAAATTACACCTAGGTAGTGCTTAGCAAGAACAGTAAGCATCACCAGCCTCACTGGGAGTAAAATCAGTTTGAGAATATAAAAGATTGGATCCCTAGTGCAACAGAAACAAGAGAATATAATTTTTTTCCAAGCTGTGGTATTTTAGTAGGTGAGAACAGCAAAATGGGAGTGCCCGTTGTGAAGGTGTTTTAATGTCTGTGAATGAATTTAACAGCTATATAGATACTATTATCTACTTCCAAAGTATTTCTATGGCTTACAACATATATAAGGCCAATTCTAGGAAGCATACCAAAATCCTCCAAAAAAGCACAACATAAAAAAACCTTTTTCAGGTTCTAAAATATCTCTGCAACAACAGTTAACATTTAATGAAATTTTCTTTCAAAGTATCACAGGTCACAGTCTGAGACACTTTTCTCAAAATACTATCAAAATTATACTGTTGTCAGCTTTTCAACAGACACAAAAATTTCTGATCCTACAAATACCCTACAAATCTTTTCTTTTAGCACAATGGGCCATTTGGAAATATTACAGAAAGTATAATATTCTTTAACATTAAAATAAAAGCCTGATTTAATGGTAAATGTCCCTAAAAGCAACATTAAGTACTTTTCCTATATTATTATATTGCACTAGAGATGTTTTTAATTTTACTGGTCTAGAAGTGATGGAAAGTGACAGCATTCACAGTTCCCCCCCCTAAATTGCTCTGGCTGGGCTGCACAAGAGACTTCAATAAATGCAACAGGCTGAGTAACCAAGCAGAAATCTTGCATACATCCATTTGAAAGGAGGCAGCTTCTTTTTAGTATAAACAGTAAAAGAATGAAACTCCTATGGAAAATCAAAACTTTGGTTCATGTAGCAGTCTATGTCTGCCCCTATTTCAACAGAAAGCCACAAGTAATGGCCTGTCTAGGGACATAATCTCCTGCCTGAATTTCCTTAACAGAGAGAACCTCTTATAATTATACACATCTGACCTAGAAACATGACCTCTATCTTCTCCAAAATGTAAGACTTTTGTCTTTTGGAAATGTGATCTTTTTACTTAATCTGGTCCACACAAATGCCACACTCAAAAAGGAATTACTTGTAACGAAGTCTTTAAAGGTTATTTGTTGTCCTGTCTTCACAGGGAATTGACAGAACAGTAATACTTGGTGTTGAAAATTAATTTCGGAAGCTGACTTCATCTCATGATATATGGATGTGTTATCTCCGTCTTTATTAATGGAAAAATATTACACTGGTTTGCATCTCTTCATCTAAATAATCAATATTTTACACAGGAAAGCCACAGAAGCAAGAATTAATGCTCTCATGCTCAGAGCAGGGATATGTCTTAGTCTTCATAAGATGATTCATGCTATACCACAAGATCTCCCACAATGGTTTCCCTACTAAAATATCAAAGAATCATCAACTTGACAAGTTTCTGGGATGAAGGAATATTCGTGAGTGTATTGCTTAAAATCATGTTGCCCTATCCAAAGGGGCTGTGCTGAGACTTACAGCTGGAAACTGGTAGATGGAACTGGGTACGCAAGCAACCACAGCTCAATACAAACCTTTCTCTTTTGCAGTAGACTTTACTAAGTTCCTTGAGCAAATACAGCAGATTAAACTTCAGTTGAGATATATTACATCCCTATGGAATAAGTATTCCAAGTAGGAAGGAGACAAGTTGTTGAGTGTTCGATGCATCCTACAGTTGGGATTGTCTGTGACCTATTGGGAAAAGATTTCTTTCACAATGAATAAAACTAAACCGGTTCTTGTACAAAGAAAAAGTCACTGTCAGCACCAGAGACTTACTTAGAAGTGTTCGGAATTCTTTACCACTCACAAAATAAAACAAAAAAGATTATCGAAGAAAAAAAATAAATCAGAAAAGTCACTCAGTTTTCCTGCTTGGAATAAAGCATCAGCCTATGATAGGTATAGTAGAAAGTATTTTTTTTGCAAAATTAATTTTGTCTGATTTAGAAATGCAGTTCTACCTGAGTTTAACAGCGAGGTTTTCTCTTATCCCAATGTATTGGCGATTAACTATTTTGTTGAACTGACACTTCTTCTGTTTCGTTTAAGCTAAAAAAACAAAGCCACTTTGATATTTTACAGGTCTGAAGCCACGATGATAAGGAGGACTGATAATCTTAGATTTCAACATGGTCTTCCTATCAACTAGTCTTCTAAAACCATCACTTGAAAGCATTCCCAAGACAAGCAGTTTTAAATCATTTGGGCTCTGGTAAGATCTTATCCAAAATTATGTTCTGTGCCAACTGAAGGAGTCACAAAGAAACAAGAGCACAAGTGTTTACCACCTTAATCCTTAAAGTCAGGAGATGAGTGGTTATTCTACCCAAAGACTTTAAAAAAACCAACCAACCAAACTCATCAACACCCCCTCCAAATCTACCTCTTTATATCCCAAAATTCCAGTAAGAAGCTTGTTTTTTATACAACTCCTAAAATCCACTGCTTACAACCATATAAAAGTATAGCAAATATCCAGAAATGCCATCAGAGGTAGCTCTATTGAAAAATGAGCCATCTCCTTTTTATTTTTTCTCATTTTAATCTGTGATATAGGTGTAAGCCCCAATAGTCATGTCAGATTTATCTGATGACTATCAAATTCCCTGATTATAAAGTATGTAATGTGTTTAGTCATTCTTCCTTCATAGATCATAGAGAAGCTTTACTGCCTTCACTATCTGAAGACAAATCATCAGTGAACTTTACTGTACAACAGCAAAGTAAAATTAGACTAAGAAATTTAGCCTCTATAATTTCAGGAACTTAATACTGAGACTGTCTAACCAGAATAGTCAGAGATGCAAAAGCTTCTTTAATCTCTTGGTGCTTAGGCTGCTATGCTTGCCATTCTGGAGGATCAGTACTTTTTTGGATAACAGACAACT